TATATATATGTGTGTGACCTCAGGATAATCAAAAAAATATTTTTTCTTATATACATTCCACTCATTGTTTTGATTTTTCCTAAGAAAAAGTCTAAGACTTGAACAATTAAACAATTCTACAATTTCCCTCAACCAAGCTTATTTTTAATGGAATTTTAAATTGTCACAGAAGAAAAAAATTATATATCTTTGCGAAAAGCCGCAAACAATCGCGAGACATCATTTTTATAGGCAACGCGCGTGGATCAGACTCGGATAATGGAGAAATGCGCGACATGGGAACGTGTGCGGTCATCGGTGGGACAGGTGTGCTCCAAATAACGCGCGGGCCTAGAGTCTGTCTTTTCTTTCCCTCTTTTTCTCTCTCTCTCCTCTATCGTGCACGATATGTTTTCTCTTTAGACGTTCCTTCCTCTTCGTTGCCAAACTCCGTTCCCCTAATCTCTCCCTGTTTCTGACGAGGCGAGTAGTAGCGAGTGAATGCGGCTTTGATTGTCGTCGGTTGGGTTCCCGAAAACCACCCTCCTCCCCACACGGAGCATTTCGAGAAAATGGCGCTAGCAAAAGGTGTACCGGGGGTCAATCCAATATAAATCAGAACTGAGTCTTGAAGCTTAGTCGAGAAGAGAGAAAGAAAGAGAGAGAGAGAGAGAGCGTGTATGTGTTGTGTGTGTGCGTGTGTAGAAAAAGTATGTATGTGAGGAATCAAAATAGGGGTAAACCCCAGAAGAAGGGAGCCGATGAATAGAACATTTTCGGGAACGGCTCAGAATACTCGTGTATATATGTGTATATAAGTATATATATGTACACTCTAGTCCGCGTGTCTGTGATAACGTGGAAAAGAATTAGGTATGAGGGCTTCACCTGCCTTCTTTCTCTTCCCCGCTCTTTTTAGCGGGTCCCGAGAATCTTCTCCGGTAAGAATTTGGAGTTTCTCTTGTGTTCGAAACGGTCGACAGCCGTTATTTTTCTTCCTTTTACGGAGCTGAGTTGCCTTAGGTGCCTTTCGGCGTATTTTCGTTATCAATATTTTGATAAGTCTCACATATAGCCCTTTTTAGAAGTCCTCGTGTTGAAATTTTAAATGTTTAAAAGTGATATATATATCTTAAAACTGCTTTTTGCAGTTTCTTATCACTCTCAATGTTTGATAGTTACAGATATGTTACTTGCAAGTTACTTGTTCAATATTGGAGCAAGTGATAAAGATAAGCATGCATGTATTCATATTCTATAGCATTAAAGACGTGTATCATGGTCTCGCTTCTATAAACGATATAATTCATGCTTTTACGTATTTTTTATCAGTTTTAATATATTTGATGTTCAAAAAATTGGCAATATGTTTCACAGTTAAGTCTTGTCAGATATCGACGCAGATGTTCGTTTATCAATTTTGGCCAAAGTTTAAAAAAATTAAAAAACAAATTCATTTATCAAAGAATATTTTATTCAAAAAATGTTTTTTTTTTTTTAAATTTTCCATTGAATATTCTCTTAAATAATAATTCTCTTTGGCGATTAGGGAATAATGGCGAACGCGAGCAAATTAAATCCAATACTTTCTTTAACGCATTAAATTGTTTCAAAATCTTACTGTAGTTTACAAAGATTATTTTGACAAATGCAAGTTTCACCTTGCAATATTAAGATACATCATGTTGTAGAATTCATTGTGCCACGAGATTATCTCATTGTCAAACGATTTCATCTCGGCGAATTAAATAATAAACAAAGAAAGTATGAAAAATGTCTTTGGTTTTGAAAACATCCCTGAAGTAACTAAATAAATTGACGAAATAGAGATAATATACGCGTTTCCCCCGTCCCCCGTGACATCGAAGTACTTCAAATCTCCGTGTGAGCCGACGGAGACTTTTTGTTCGACGTAAGCAACATTCGGCGCGCG